TTGTGTATGATTATATTTACTGCATGTATATAAGTGCACCCGTGTCATGCAATGCCTGTGGAGGTCAGAAGATTCTGTCAGATCCCCTGGAACTGGAGTTACGAACGAACGGTCATTAGCTACCGTGTGGATACTAGGAATCAAGCCCAGGTCCTCTGCAAGAGCAGCGTTCTTTTTTTTCTTTTTGTCTTTTTGAGACAGGGTCTCCTTGTAGCCCCAGCTGTCCTGGAACCACTATGTGGACCGGGCTGGCCTTGAACTCACAGAGATCTGCCTGCCTCTGCCTCCCAAGTGCTGGGACTAAAGGTGTGCGCCACCACGCCCGGCTCAAGAGCAGTGTTCTTAACCATACTAAGCCATCTCTCCAGCCCCCCTAGTTTCCTTTCTAACATGTCTGAGAAGTTACAGTATTAAGGGTGTGGAGAAAAGAAAATATTTCTTAGGTGCCAAGTTTAGTCTTTCAAAGTTGCTCCTCTGTCTTCTGAAGACAGTTAAAGGGCAAGTAGAATAGAGTTGTCCAGATGTGGACGTCTAAAATAGATCATGTATTAAAACTGTAGCATGTAGTTTTGTGTGAGTCTCATTAAATATCTGCCTTGTTATCCTTATTTTGCTGGTTTTTTTTCCTTCCCATGTAGGCCAGTTATGCCTGTTACATTAAATATGAATATGGCTATGCCTTCTTGGTAAGTAATTTGCTTAATTAATTTAGAACTTTTTAGTCTTATCAGAAGGGCTTTTGTGTATATCAGTTTTTTATTTAGATATTTCTAAATTGCAAGGTAACTCAGTTAAAGTTAACGATTTAACCTTTTATGCTTTACATTGTGAGTTAAACTTAAGAAGCTATACAAGTAGAGAAACAGGAGCGGGTTGGGTGTATTATGGGGCTGTCTTTTGCTAAGTCTTTGTTGAGTCCAGTAACCAAACCTTTTGAGCGATCCATGTGGCATCCACTGTGATTCCACTCTGATTAAGTCACAGCCTCACCATTCTGCCAAGTTCCTGCCTTGCTGGATATTAAGGAAAGCACTTCCCTTTCAGCCTTTCAAGATGCCTCACATTCCTTGTGCCCTTCACAGTCAGGAAGTGGGATCACTGAGAGTTCTCTGTGTGTGACTAGATGTCTTTGCACTGCTGAGACCTCTGCCATCAATTCTTTCAAGAAGTGATGACTTCAGCATCCACTTGACATTGTCACTTCAGTCTGTGTGTGTGTGTGTGTGTGTGTGTCCCGCTCTCTGTCCTTTGGGTGACCAGTGTAAATGGGCCATTTACACCCTTGCCTGGCTTGTTTCTCCTTTCCTACTTCTCTTCCCCCACAGACTTCCCTCAGGTTTAGTCATTCATAATCATTCTCTAAGTGCTATCTATGGAACTGTCCCAGCTCTGCAGTCACTTAATTCAGACCTGACAGGAAGCTTAGTAGCTGTACATCCTTAGTGTAAATGGGCCATTTACACCCTTGCCTGGCTTGTTTCTCCTTTCCTACTTCTCTTCCCCCAAAGACTTCCCTCAGGTTTAGTCATTCATAATCATTCTCTAAGTGCTATCTATGGAACTGTCCCAGCTCTGCAGTCACTTAATTCAGACCTGACAGGAAGCTTAGTAGCTGTACATCCTTTGAGTTTGCATTCCTGTTTGCACACTCCTTAATGGGAGACCTCGTCAGGACCTGCAGTCTGTTGTCTTACCTGCTGTACTTTCCACACTCATCTTCTTAAAATCCTCTTTGGATTCCTTGGCAACCTTACAAATTTCTATTCATCTTTACTTTTGGTTCTTTCATCTTCTCTGTCTCCCAAGATACCCCTCTATGAACTAAAATTCCTATCTACCATTGCTGCAGATAATCATGCGAGCACATAACCTAAAGACAGGTAGAAGGGGCTGAAGGAAGCTTCCCTGGCTTCTGGAGTACAGTGGCTGCAGTGAAACATTGGGGAGATATAGAGAGTCATTATAAATACCTTCATTAGTTGAGAGGTAGTGCCTGCAAGAGTCACATAATTCAGAAAAGTAACCATCCCAGTGGATTGACTTAGCGTAGAAGAGGAATGACTAAGTAAAATTTATTGCAGACTTTTTAGGATTATTGATTGAATTTTTGAGTGTAAGATTGGATTCAGTCATTTCTCAGCTGTTACCGCCCACAGATGTGGCACTGACTTTTTAACGTTAGAATCCGTGTCTAGTTGGAGTGAAAGGAATGTAGAGAATGTCAGCTTCACATATTTAACCTGTTAATCACATTTAATTAATGTTAATTAGAGCTTCATATGTAAAGGTGCCTTTGTTAAGTGCTTTTTTATAAGACTACCTTGAAGTCAGTAAACATCTCACTAAGAATAACCTTTGAGACTTAATGGCCTTATTTTCTAGGTTTGATATTATTGGACTTTCACCAGATTCCCAGGAGGATGAATCTGGAATTAAACAGGCAGCAGAAAATGGTAAGTTCAGAAAGTGTTTATAAAAGCAAAAGCATTCTTAAATGTTTTAGTAGATTCAGTAGTTGAATTGAAATTGATTAAATGTGACACAATTATGTGTGCTCAGAAGGCACTCTCCCTCCCTCCATCCCTCTCTTCCTTTCCCTTTGCCTTGCTGGGGACCAACCTTGTGTCTCACAAATACTAAATAAGCACTCTACCACTGAGGTATGCCTCCAACCCTTTCCCTCCATTCTGATTACCACATCTACATAGACTCTCTAGTTGTTTTACTTACTTACTTTACTGTGACTGTCATAAACACCATGATCAAGGGATCTTATAGAAGGAAGAGTTTATTGGGCTTCTGGTTCCAAAGGAGTAAGATTCCTTCACGGTGGAGAGGCTTGGAGAGGCAGCAGGAGGAGAAAGCTGAGCATTCATGTCTTTAAGCAGGCACAGGAAGCAAAGAGAGCCAAACTCGAAATGGGAAGGCCATGAACTCCAAAGCCCACCCCCCAGTGATTTGCTTCCTTCAGCTAGGCTGTACCTCCTCCTAAGCCTCCCTGAACAGTGCCACCACCTGGAGACAGTGTTCAAATACTTGGAGCCTGTGGGGGGACAGTTTTCATGCAAACCATCACACTTTATTGTAGGCAGTGGCAGTGAAGTAGCTGGAAAGGAGTGGCGTTTATCACACCAGCTATGTTGGATACATAGAGATTTTGCTTTAATTGGCATAGGCAGAGCTGAGCGTGGTGATGCTCACCTGTTAACCCAACACTTGGGAGGCTGAAGCAGGAGGATTGCTGTGAGTTCCAAGCCAGCCTAGGTTACATAGTATCAGGCCAGCTGGGGCTACATAGCAAGCTCTGTCTTGAAACAAAATTACATAGGCAAATGGGAAAATAGCACAGTAACAGTACTTTTTTGATTTTTGTGATTCTTGTTGTTGTTTTGTTTTGAGACAGGTTCTGCTACATAGCCCTGGCTGGCCTGGAATTTACAGAGATCTGCCTGCCTCTGCCGCCCAAGTTCTGGAATTGAAGGGATGGACTACCACACCCAGCTAATAGCACATCATTGAATACTTGTATACAGTTATCTTCATGAAGTAATGATAAGGATAAATAATTTAATGATATAAAGGTAATAAAACATTAGTGAGGTAATAATGGATATCACGTAGCCTTTTACTAGCTAATCATTTCTTATAAATTAGCTCATTTAACACCCCTGTGACATATTAGGTATGCTCCGAGGTGTGTTCTCTGATTAATATTCCATTCTCCTATATAAACATGGTAACCTTGTTTTGTGTATGTATGAAAAGATGTAGTTTTTATTTTTTATATATATATATATTATTTAATGTGTATGAGTGAGTGTATTGTTTGCATATAAGTAGGTGCACCCATGTCATGCAATGCCCTCAGAGGTCAGAAGAGGGCGTCAGATTCCCCTAGAACTGGAATTACAGAGAGTTGTTAGCCCCCATGTGGATGCTGGGAGTTGAACTTGGGTCCTCTGCAAGAACAGCCAGTGCTCTTAACCACCAAGCCATCTCTCCAGCCCGAGATGTAGGGGTTTTTTTTTTTTTTTTTTTTTTTTTTTTTTATTTTTTAATTGTGTGTACGAGTGTATTGCCTGCATGTGTGTGAGTGCACCTATGTCATGCAATGCCGCGAACATCAGAAGAAGGCTTCTGATTTCCCTGGAACTGGAGTTGAGGACGGTTAGTAGTTGGTTGCCATGTGGGTGCTGGGAATCGAACCTGGGTCCTCTGCAAGAGCAGTCAGTGCTCTTTACCGCTGAGCCATCTCTCCAGCCTGAGATGTAGTTTTAAAAAAATGCATAAAAACATCTTTTTCTTTGATGTGCATGTAGTACTGGAAGAACCTTTGGCTTTTCTTTCGTGTAGTGCAGTGATGGCATTGACTTGAGAATAGCCTACTGTGGGGCCATCAGAAATGAGCATGGCCAAGAACTGACACACCGGCCAGGAGCTGTGTGTGGACCATTGCGCTGTTCTTTCTACTTTTATATTTGTTTGAAGTTCTCCAAAACATATTTTTTTTAAAAAAAAAAAGAGCCTTTCATTCTTTAAAAACAACTGTAAATCTTTTTAAAATTTATTTTTATTTTATTTGTATGAGTGTATTGCCTGCATGTATGTAAGTGCACCTGTGTTGTGCAGTGCTCGTGGAGGTTAGGAGAGGGTGTTGTATCCCCTGGAACTGGAGTTAAGGATGATTGTTAGGATGTTGAGAACCAAGCCTGGGTCCTCTGCAAGAGCAGCTAGTGCTCTTAACTGCAGAGCCATCTCTCCAGCCCTCATGAAGAACAACTTTAGATCTTTGAGATAGAAAGGTATATTCAAAACACATTGGGAATGTGAAACCGTGCCCACTGACTTTTTAGATCATCAAAATGTGGATTAAAGCTAGAATCCTATAGTTAAGACTTTGTTTAAAAGTGAGTAAGAAAAAATGTATACTTCTGTATAGATATGATATGTTAGACTTTGGGAGATGGAGGGGCTGGTTCCTGTGGAATGGTTAAGTGAGCCCAGAGTGAAAGGTACTGTTCTAACAATAGAGCCGGTCATTTCTTCTCAAACAGATTATTGAAGAGAATGAGGATCAAAGACTCAGAGTTGGGTAAGAAAGGACAGAGAGAATGTGCCACTGAACAAAAGAGAGTTCCAGGTTGGATTCTGGAAGTACATCCTGCCTATGCTCTTAGGTCAAAGGTGACTGAAATTAGAACCCACTGTTCCACAGGTGGCTGCTGTCATTGTAGATTGTTAAAACGCTTTTAGCTCTGTCAGTTGGTGCATTCTAAGGGGCAGAGCTGAACAGTCTGAAAGGCTCCGTAGCTGGCTAAAGGAATGCCCCTCAAGCCCCACAGCTCCCCTTCCTCCTGGCAGCTGGGCTGTTTCTGCCCTTCTGCACCTGTTCATCTTTAGTAACAGCTGTGCGGTTTCCCCAATTCTCCGTGCTCTACAACAATTCTTTGACTTCTTAATCCTCCTTTCCTGGTGCACAACCCACTGGCCTATTCTTCACATGCAGTGCCTTTTCTTTCATACTAAACTTTGTATTAAAAAATAGCTTTAAATTTGAGTATCTGGTTGTTTTGTTTTGTTTGAGAATAAGGTCTTGCTATGTAGTGCTTGAACTCATAATCTTTCTGCCTCTGCCTCCTGAGTGCTGGGGTTACAGGTATGTGCCACTCATGCCTAGTTTTGTGGCATTTTCATAAAAGGAGGTGTGTGTGTGTGTGTGTGTGTGTGTGTGTGTGTGTGTGTGTTGGATTAGAAAGGAAACAGAAAATTTTGATCTGAAAAAACACACTGCCCATATTTAAAATATTGAAGAGACGGTATAGTAAGTAGTACATTCCTGTAATCCAGCACTTTGGAGGCTAGGGCAGAAGGATCACAAGTGTGAGTTCAGCCTGGGCTACGTAGTGAGTTCCATGCTATCCTGAGCTACCATTTTTCAAGATCCTGTCACAGATACACACAAAAAATTATAAAAGGTGCAATTATTCTAAAAACATAGGACAAATAAAAAGGAAATTATAGGAGTTGTCATGTGTATTAGTTACTTTTCTGATGCTTTAGTAAAATACCATGAAAGGATTTATTTTGGCTTACAGTAACAGGGGTGAAGTCCAGCATGGTGACAGGAGCAGGAAGGTGGCCGATCGTACTCTCACCCACACACAGGAAGCAGAGAGAATACTGAGTAGGGCCAGGCTATAAAACCTCAGTGCTGCCCGGCCTCATGCCTGTATTCTGTGGAAACAAAAATCCTCATCTGAAGTTCTTCCCCATCATTTATTGTTTTTATTTAAGCAAAACTCTTTTTTGTTTTGTTTTGGGGTTTGTTTGGGTTTTTTGTTTGTTTTTAGACAAGAGTTTCCCTGAAGCCCCAGCAGACCTAGAACTCACTATATAGATCAGACTGACCTAGATCTGAGAGATCCATCTATGTCTACCTCCTGAGTGCTGGGATTAAAGGCATGCTTCATCATGTCCAGCTTAAACAGAACTCTCAGTAATTTGAGCTATAAGAAAAATTAATGCTATGGTTTTAAGAATAGTATTAAGGTTAAAACACTGTAAGTCATAAACTATATAATCTTTAAATACATACTATTTAAAAATGACAACTGTTGCTGGGCATGGTGGTGCACGCCTTTAATCCCAGCACTTGGGAGGCAGAAGCAGGTGGATCTCTCTGAGTTCGAGGACAGCCTGGTCTACATAGTGAGTTCCAGGCCAGCTGGGGCTGGGGCTACAGGGCGCCCCTGCCTCAAAAAGACCGAAAAAAAAAAAAAAAAGACAATTTTTAGGTACAAATGCACTTTATTGAAGAGAAATAGAAAATGTATACTAGAATTAACTATAAATAAAAGAATGTACATCTCTCAATGAGTAAAAGAACTATTACAAACTGTGCAACAAGAAGTTTCTGAAGTTTTTATTTACTTTTATTTTATGTGTATGAGTGTTTTGGCTACATGTATGTAGATGCACCACATGTGTGCAAAGCCCACGGAGGCCAGAAGAGGGTTTTGGATTCCCTGGAACTAGAGTTATGGACAGCTGTTAGCCGCCATGTGGGTGCTGGGAACCAAACCCAGGTCCTCTTCAAGAGCAGCCAGCACTCTTAACCTTTGAGTTATCTCTCCAGCCCCCACTTGAAATTTTAATCTGAGCACACCTGCAGAATCTAAAAAGTCAAATTATGAAAATACATCCTAGTTTCCTTCCTATCTTTTATATTCTTTGCCTGTTTTTTTTTTCCTATTTTAAATTGTATCAGTGAATTTAATTTTGAAAGTATTTATGATAATTTTCTTGTTTTTAGTAAAAGCTTTGATAGATCAAGAGGTGAAGAATGGCATCCCTTCTAACAGAATTATTTTGGGAGGATTTTCTCAGGTAAGATAGAGTTTGACTGGTATGTCAGTATCATCAGCATATTTATCTAAAGTCAGTAGTTTCTTCTTCTTTGGAAGTGTTCTTTTTTAGGAGCTGTTACAGATCTTAACTGATATTAATGCTCATTTAAGTTTGATCACACTGGGACAAATTTCTGCTTCATATGCTTTTGCTTTTCTAGTTTTTCCTCTTCACAGTAGCCTTTATCTTTTAGCTTGCCTTCAAAGTTAATTCATTAAAAAACTGATTGGAACCAGAATATATATTTTTATGTGTATGAGTGTTATGCCTGCATATAGGTAAGTGTACCCATGTTGTGCAGTGCCCACCAAAGAAGAGGTTATCAGATTCCCTTAGAACTGGAGTTATGAACAGTTGTTAGCTGTCATGTGGGTGCTGGGAATTGAACCCAGGTCCTCTGAAAGAACATCCAGTGCCCTTAACCCCTTAGCCATCATTGCAGTCCCTAGAATGTATTTTCTTCAAGTAACTGTAATACACAATAGTTATGTTGCTTTTAATTAAACAGGACTGTAAGTGAACACAGGACTTCTGTTCCTTCTTTTAGGAGGAGGCTATAGTATATGATGCTTACTTTGGTATCCTTCTCTCTGTACTTTTTCTCTGGCCTTATAATTTTCCAATGTTGTTCCTTATATTGACCTTACAATTTTTTGTTTTATGGTACTAAGAATTAGACCTAGGTCCTTGTACAAGCTAGACAAGCCCTTTATCACTCAGTTATACCTCCTGCCCTGAACTTATATCTTTAAACTTTTCACTAGTTACCACTTCAGAATGCTAATCTCAATAGCTATGAAAAATGTTAGAATTTTGGAATCATCTTAATAAAGTTAAGTAGAAAGAGATGTAGTTAATACAGTATATTTAAAAGGTGTTACCAATGTGGTCTTTGTTGAGATAATAATACATACCTTGACACAAACATAGGGACAAAAATTAATTTTTGATTTAAGGTAGAAAGTACATGTAGGTGTCTTGTTAGTTGATACTGTTTACAACCTGCAGAAACTAAATCCTGGCTCTGAGTAGAGGCTCAGGCAATAAAGTACTTAGCAACCAGGAGAATCTAAGTTTGGATCTCCAGCACCCATGTAAAAAGCTGGGTATGAGATTCTAAGAGCCAGAGGGAATAGATGCCTGTAGTGAAACAATTTGCTGGACATGATAGCACAGTTGCAGGAATGAACTCATAGTGGCTGGGATTGTGTACCAAGACTTGTACAAGATCAAGCCAGCCAAAATCCCAGATGGATGGGGGAGGGACTCAGGAAGTCTTACCCATATCTGAAGAACTATTGACAGTTGGTGGCTGCTGGGAGAGGGAGAGTCACTTTCCTTCAAGATGTATATCCTAAGAGGCTACCCATACTCCAGTAGATGGCCCCACATCGTTACATACACAGGCAACACTAAATGGACTCAGTGAGTATTACATTTTTAAAAAGCACATGAAATTGGGAGGGAAAGGTGGTGATGGAAAGATGGAAAAATTGGAGGGGAGGTGATGGGAGAGGTTGAATTCAAACACATATGCATGTTGGAATGTTCAACAAAATATTTAAATGATAATATTTTTAAAAGCTGGATCTGTTGCCATGTGCCTGTAATCCCAGGGGTGGGGAGGCAGAGGCCAGTGGATCCCTGGAGCTCTCTGGCCAGCCAGCCTAGTGTATGTAATTTATGAGCTCCAGATTCTTTGAGAGACCGTATGTCAAAGAGTAAGATGGAAAGTGGTCATGGAGGACACCTAATGCCAACCTCTGGCCTCTACATATGCACATATGCTCACATGCACTCCTGCACCAACACTCTATACACACCCCCAAAACAATTTCTAACATTTTAAGCAAGGAGGAGTCAGTAGTGGGTCTTTGGCATCATCAGATCAAGGAAACAAAATAAATCAAGACCTAGGGAAGCAGCCAGTTCTTGGAAATTCATCTTCATTTCTCTGTGCTCGTCTTTTTTTGTTTGCCTTTCCATCTAATCTTGGCCATCTCGGCTTTTACAGCTTATAGCTTTTCAGCTCAAGTTTACATGTTGCATTTCTAGCTGTACAGATTACCTGAAAGCCGCTGAACCCCAATTCCACAGTCCTGAGAGAAAGAGCATCACTGCCTGGGATGATAAATTCTCCCATATCACCATGTGAGGTGCAGTGATTTGTGGGTGGGCCTGATCAGAGTGGCAGCATTTCTGCTGGCAGATCCTAGAGCACAGCCTATTTCGAACTGGGTAGGCAAACTTCCAAAGGTGTCTGGTACACAGTCTGCATTATCTTGAATTACTGTTTTGGAAAAATAAATCTAATTTGAATTCTATATCTAAGACTTTTCAGAAAAGAAAGTGAAAACTATAAATGTGGACTATTCTTAAGGCATGCAAAAAATGGAAGTTATTTTTAAGTGTTGTGATTGATCTAGTACTTAGTATGTTCTCTTTGAGGTAGAGATCTATGTCTTTTGTGAGTATGTATTTTCACTCTACCTGATTTCATTTAACATGGCTTACCCAGTTTGTTTGTTTTTTTATGGACATCACTAATAAGACTCTCACATGCTGTTGGCAGAACTATCCTCCAGTAACTTGCCGCTTTCTTTCCAGGGAGGAGCTTTATCTTTATACGCTGCTCTCAACACACAGCAGAAACTGGCAGGTGTCACTGCACTCAGCTGCTGGCTTCCACTGCGGGCTTCGTTTCCACAGGTACCCTGCTTGATAGGTGCCCTGCTTGATAGGTACCCTGCTTGATGCACATACTGAGATTACACAGCAAGAGGCAGCAGATGATGTTTAGGAAGAAGTTGCTCCTTATTTTTGGACTTAAGACAGGGTCTCCCTGTAGCCCCAGCTGGCCTAGAACTTGTTATGTAGATGAGGCTGGCTTGGAACTCACAGAGATCTGCCTGCCTCTGCTTCCCAACTGCTGTGATTAAAGGCATTCACCACCATGCCCAGCAGGCAGTGTTGCTGCATTTTAATTTATGAGTTTTATAACTTTTGGGGGGGGCGTCTTTTTGAAGCAGCGCCTCCCTGTGGCCCCAGCTGTCCTGGAACTCACTGTGTAGACCAGGCTGGCCTTGAACTCACAGAGATCCACCTGCCTTGCCTCCCAAGTGCTGGGACTACAGGCGTGCGCCACCAAACCTGGCAAGTTTTATAACTTTTTTAGAACAGTTTTAGGTTTATAGCCTCCTCAACTGTGGACACTCACATCACATTGGTACCTTTGTTGCAGTTGGTGAACCTGCACTGAGATATCACTACCCAAAGTGCACAACTTCTGTCGGTCATCCTATATTAAAGTTTTCCTTTAGACCTTACTGATGTATTACTGTACTTCATCTGTATACCACAGTGTCCTTATGTGGATTACATAGAATAGTCATAAGTCTTAATGTTTGATATGGTTTAGAATATATATGAAAATTAAGGCTAGTTTTAATACAGTTTTAAGATATTTAATGATTTGACAACAGAATTTTACCATTTAATTTCTAAATATTTAACAGTGAAGCAGTATGTAATACATGATGGGAGATGTGGAGATTATTTTCACGTTCTTTATCTATCCATTTTTTTTGTAGTGTTAGGTGTTAAAGCTTTGAACATGCTAGTCAAGCACACCACCCCTGTGTTACTCCAGTCCCCAATTTATTTTTTCTTTTGAGACTGTTTTACTGTATAGTCAAGGTTTCCGTTTTGGGGGTTGTTGGGTTTTTGTTTTGTTTTGAGACAGGGTCTTGTTTTGAGACAGGTATAGCCCTGGCTAGCCTGGAACTCACTATGTAGACCAGGCTGACCTCAGTCTGACAGAGAGCCACCTGTCCCTGCCTCCCAAGTGCTGGAATTAAAGGTGTGCACTACCACGCCTGGCTCTGGCTATCCTTAAACCTGTGCCAGGCTTCCCAAATGTGAGGATTGTGGGCATACTAACATGTTACATTCCAAATTCATTTTCAGATCTGGAGTTTTGTCTATTTACTGTGTACTAACTTTTCATTGTGTTGCACATAATAGATAATGTTGATTAATGCCCTTATTTAAGTCAATTAAGTAAAAGTTGAGGAGGACTTACCTAATGTGCTAATACTTACTGATTACCTCTCATGTTGTCATCCTGAAAAAACAAGGATGAATTAAGATGTAATTGGCTTTAAGAAAACGATCCATTGGGAATACACGTTATATTGTGACGTAGGCAAGAAAATTATGCATGTCTTACAAGTTTAAATTAAGGGATGTTGGGAAAGTATGGGGATGGGAGGAATTTCATTTGTCAAAAATATGAGGAATACAATATTATGTACATATATGTTTATAATTTTTAAGTGCCTGGCACAATACTTAATATAGTTGAATAAATAACATTCTTTTTTTTTTTTTCTAGGGTCCTATCAGTAGTGCTAATAGAGATATTTCTATTCTCCAATGCCATGGAGATTGTGACCCTTTAGTTCCCCTAATGTTTGGTTCTCTTACTTTTGAAAAACTAAAAACATTGGTGAATCCAGCCAATGTAACTTTCAAAATCTATGAAGGCATGATGCACAGTTCATGTCAGCAGGTAGGTGCCTTGAAGCAGCAGTGAGAGCCACAACTTTCATTTCTTTCATGCTGTTTTCGAGTTAAATAACATTTGAATGTTGGGAATTTAAAGGAGTTAATGAATTAATTCATAACTGAATTGGAGTAACAGATTTCTCAATGATAGTTTGTTCAATTAAATTTAAAAAATCTAATCACCTTTACACATGAGCATTGCATATAATTAAAAGATGGATTTATAAATGTACTCTTTATTTTGTAAAATTTAAGATAGATTAATTACAGTTTCAATAGAGAAGAAAGATATATATATCCAAGTAACTATAGAAAAAAACAGATTGGGATGTGTATTGTATTAGCATTGTCCTGAAAAACTGAGAGGAATGAGATAAAGTGTTATCTTAGGAGGAACTGAGATGAAGCTAGACTCTGAAAGAAGATGGGCTCTAGATAGCCAGTCTGCAGGTAAAGGGACTATGGGGCAGGAAAAGCAAACTGTCCCATTTGATACCAGGCTGGGGGTAGAGCTCAGTTGGTAGAGTTGCTTGCCTATCATGGACAAAGCCCTAGGTTCAATCCCTAGTACTGCATAAACCAAGTGTGATGGCACACACCGTAATCCTAGCACCTGAGATAGAGGCAGGAGGATCAGAAGTTCAAGATCATCCTCATCTACTTAGTGAATTCAAGTCCAGCCTGGGTTATGAGAGAGGGTCAGGGGAAGACAGAGAAGACAAGGAAAGGGGGGATGTAGGCTAGATGACATAGGGAGTTGGGACTCTGGTGTTTTGTATTGTGCTGAGGAAGACTTGTTCTCTGGGTAGCCAGAGGCTGTTGATTGAAGTGAGATATGATCTAGATCCTGAACCAGGTGAAGCAGAATCCACGAGTATTATCAAGTTAATTCTATGGGTAGGAAAGGAGGAGGTATCCAAGGGTCCTTGGATTTTTAGCTCTCTTGACTAAGAAGACACTGCCATAAAGTAATAGAGGGCTGGAGAGATGGCTCAGCGGTTGAGAGCACTGACTGCTCTTGCAGAGGACCGGGTTCGATTCCCAGCACCCACATCTTGGCTAACAACCATAGCCTTATGTCCTGCCCTTCTTAGTGTTTTGTTTTTTTTTTAATTTAAAAATATTGTTTTATTTTTGTGTATGAGTGTATTGCCTGCATGTGTGTAAGTGCACCTGTGTCTTGCAATGCCTGTGGCGGTCAGAAGGGGCTGTCGAATTCTCCCAAACTAGAGTTACAGAAAAGGTTGTTAGCTGCCATGTGGGTACCGGGAATCAAAACCAGGACCTCTGCAAGAGCAGCCAGTGTTCTTAACCACTGATCCACCTCTCCAGTCCCAGTTCTTCTTTTAAGTATCAGGAAATACAGGCATTTTTCATGGAACTGGATAGTATGGGAACTTTCAGTATACAATAATAAGCATAAGGAATGTTCTGAGATTTTAGAACCTTTTTTTTCTTGCATGCCTTTTTCTTGTAGTAGTAAAAACATTATTACCTTACCTATGCACACTACGTGGATTTCATTACTGGCATTTTCTTGAAGATTTAATTTCAGACGTATGTAGCTGCTTATTAAATAACTTTTTCCAAACAGGAAATGATGGATGTCAAGCAATTCATTGATAAACTCCTACCTCCAATTGATTGACTTCACGGAGAGGCCTTGTGTAGACTACACCAGCATCATTGTAGTAGAGTATAAACCTTTTCCCATGCCTGATCTTAAAACTTCTAATGTTTGCAGTGTTAAAATGTTTTACAAATACATACCAATGATACAGACTAAATAATGTCTCATGGGAAATTTATGATCTTTTAAGTTTCTATTCATATATTTGTATAATACAATCCAGAATATACTAGTAAAGTAGATGAAGCAGTTAGCTTCTCTTTCTCAAATGTAATTCAGCAAAATAAAATATTGCAACCAGAGTTTTTATTGCATCATTTAGAAATTACTATTATGCTTAATGAAAATTTGTTCAAGTATAAATGACAATTAAGATATAAATGACTTGTTAATGCTGTGACTTAGACTGGATTTACTCTACAGTTGTTTAGTCACCATGCAGTGTCTGCATTTTCATATATGTATTCATATATACATGGTATTTGTAATACGTAAAAATTAGATGGTATTAAATTATTCCTAATACTAGGGATAATACTTTTCAGTGTCATAAAAGAGAATATTGCTCTCTCACTTAATGGCCCTTTTATTGGGGATCTGAATTTTCTTTCTCTGATACTTCTATTTAATATTTTTTCACCTCTCAAGAAACAAAGATATGTTTTTTTTTTTTTCCGTAGTAGACCAAATATTGCCTCTCTATCATAGAAATCTGTCAAAATATACTCTAATTTGGCATTCTGAGTCACAGATACATGGTATTTAAAGTATATGTACACTTCAAGAGACCAAACATTACTTATGCTTACTGTGCTACATATTTCAAGTAAGTGTACCGTAGTCCAAATTTAGACCTATAGTTATCAGAATCTTCAATCCAGATAATAATTCTTGTTTTATTTTTCTGTAAACAACTGAAAAGTTAAATCAAATGTTGGTGTGTCCAGAAATAAGTCTGGTTTTAAAATCTAATATCTAAAATAATTAGGTCTCTGCTGCAGAGCCTTTTTACATTTTCTGTACCTCTGTTTGAAACCGACTGCTGTCCAGGATGAGCCACCCATTAGAAACTTTAGGTTTATTTTTAGCTGCCAACAAGTGAATTTGATATTTTCATTTTAGTTAAATGGCTTAAAAATTAGTCTCTTGGGGCTGGAGAGATGGCTCAGCAGTTAAGAACACTGGATGTTCTTGCAGAAGACTGGGGTTCAAATCCCAGAACCCACATGGCAGCTAACAACTGTCCGTAATTCCAGTTTTAGGGGATCCGACGGCCTCTTCTGTCCTCCTTGGGCATTGCACGACATGGGTGCACTTACCTACATGCAGGCAATATATACATACACATAAAAAAATAAAAATAATAAATAAAATATTTTTAAAAATTAGTCTCCCGTGTAAACATTAAAATAGGAGTCATTTGATCTTAAATTGTCAAAATGTCCAGAATACTGGGGAAAACTGTTAAAATATTCAACTGTGTGGTAACTTTTATTATTAATAAAAGTTAACTAGAATCCTTATACATATGGTATAGTACCACACAGTTGAATATACATATTCAGAAGTTGTGGTGATTTCTGACCTGTTAATTTTCCTGCTGTATTCCAGCTGACCAAGACGATGTTAAGGATGCATCTTTGTAAATGGGTGCTGGCCAATAGTGGAGATAATTTAGTAATGGATAATAATGAAGCCATATGTTTATGTCTGGATTTAAAACTTTAAAACAATCATATACTGTTTCACTTTATCTTGAAGAACACAAACTGATTTCATTTATTCACATCAGTAAGGTATTATATAGGGTATAAATATTCCGTTGAATTGTGCTGTATTGTGGGAAAATGTAATGTTTTTCATGATTTCTATCAATGTGAAATAAAATTTAAATCTGGCTATTCTGGGTTGTTTTTTCAAGGTTTCTTTTCTTTTACTGTTTTTCTTTTTATTTTTTTAAAGATAGGGTCTCACCACGTAGCCCTGGCTGGCATGGAATTTGTTGTGTTGATCAGGCTGGCCTTGAACTGAGGTCTCCCTGCCTCTGCCTCCGCCTCCTGAGTGCTGAGATTATAGGATGCACACTGTGTCCAGCTTGTGTTTCCAAGTTTTGTTTTGTTTTTTGAGGCAAAGTCTTGCTATTATAGCCAGGCTGGCTTTGAATTCTCTTATCTTCCTGCTCTGCTTCCCGGCTTCTAGAATTGTAGGTGTCCCCCACCATGACTAGCTTCAAGTGTTAATGTAACGTGGGTTTACCTTGCAATGTTCATCCGTGTTAAAAAAGGGGGAATTAAAACATGATCCTGAGAGTACTTTGGGAGAGAAAGTTTAATGATGGCTTAGAATGGAACCAGCTATGGGAAAAAATACTTTCCTCAATATTAATATAAAAGTTTTTAGTCTTAACATGCTTAAGAAATTTTATTAGTTTTCATCTTTTCCTTTAAGATAATTATCAGTGGGAATTTTAGATTAGTGCCATATATCTGTTATCCAAAAGTTTTTTTCTTCATGTATTTCATTATTGATTTCTAACTTTTCTTAGTACAGGATCTTTTCTGGTTTTTTTTTAAAGTCTTTAAGTTCCTGCTTTTGAATACGTCAAGTGACCAGATTTTGTGATTCTGCTTGTTTGATTTTGGCATAGTCCTCTAACAAAAATACTCTCTCAACATCCACTCCCTGTAGGTTTTACCCTCCACAGCAGTACCTTATTTCCTGTGATTTTTATTTATTTTTATTTTGGTAGCCCTGACTACATAGCCCAGGATGGCTTAGAACTCATCAATCCTTCTGCTTTAGCTACCGTTCACAAAGTGCTGGGATTACAGGCATGGGCCACCATGCCCCATCTCCTGTTATTTATATATAGAATGCTGAGAATAAAATTTAGGGTCATATATATATATGTAGGCACTAGGCAAGCAGTCTGCTGCTGAACTATACCCCTAACTTAATGTGATTTTTTTTTTTTAATGTCATCCGCTTTATTTTTTAAAAAAAAAGACATTGTTGAGGGCTGGAGAGATGGCTCAGAGGTTAAGAGCACTGGCTGCTCTCGCAGAGGACCCGGGTTCAATTCCCAGCACCCACATACTAACAACCCCCATGATTCCAGTTCTAGGGTAATCTGATGCCTTCTTCTGTCCTCTTCGGGCATTGCATGACATGAGTACACATACATACATGCAGGCAATACACTCATACGTGTAAAATAAAAATAATAAAATACATTTTTTAAAATCCATAGTCAGCAATAATAGGGCATTTGCCCACTGCTACAAGCAGTTTACGTTACCTTTTAAAAGTAGATAAATGACACACTTGCCAGAACCATTTTATTTTATGGAAGTTCCTAAAAGAAATTGTTAAGTACTTCATACATTCCAGGCATGGACATGCATTTTATATCCTTTATTATTTGTTTATTTAAAACAATCCTTAGTTTTCCACTTCACATACGAGGAAACAGGATGCAGGTGAACTGCCTGTGACTACACAGTTGCTAGGATTCAAGTTGATCTGCCTAATTCCATGGTCCTTACCACCTTACCGTGTTCCCCGGTGGGTAATAAAAACCGCTGAGTCAGACTATGATGCAAATCACTCTGCCATGCAGAAATCTGGAATCTCCAGGGCAAAGCAGAGCTAGTGAAACAATCCATGTGTCATGTTGAATTTGGGGCACAGATGAGGAAGGATGTGGAAACAGGGCCACCATAACATCAGGGCCCTTCTAGGGGTGGCTCACAAAGTGAACTAGAGGAAATAAAGGAAGCCTGTCTGTGTTGGCCTGTGCACTGAATTTTTAAGTGGGAAGAAATTGTCTTCTGAATTTTTTTTAGCCAGAAGCCTGTTTTCACATGCATTTTGGTTTTAAATTTATACTGTTTCAGAGGGGGGAATGTTAGAGTAGCAAAAAGCCCCATTTAAAAAAAAAAAGAATGGCTGGGCATGGTGGTGCACACCTTTAATCCCAGCACTGGAGGCAGAGGCAGGCAGGTCTCTGACTTCAAGGCCAGCCTGGTCTACATAGCAAGTTCCAGGTCAGCTGGGGCTACAGAGAGACCCTGTCTTAAAAAGAGAAAAAAGAAAAAAAAACATGAAGTTGTCAGAAAAAAGTGGTGGGGAGATATGGGACAAGTTGGATGGGAGGGAGTGGGCATGGATTTGATCAAAACACCGTATGTGCATGTATGAAATTCTCAATTTTTTTTTAAATTAAAAAAATAAATTTATACTGTTTATATGAATTGGCAACACATAACTTAAAAGTTAATATCAAGACGTTCCCTAGGGGTCTGGAGAGATGGCTCAGTGGTTAAAAGCACTGGTTGCTCTTGCAGAGGACCTGTGTTGGATTCTCAGCATCCACATCACATGGTGGCTAACAACTGTCTGTAATTCAGTTCCAGGGACTTCTGTGAGCATTGCATGACACAGGTGCACTTAAACACATGCAATACTCATACACAAGAAATAAAAATAAATATATATTTTTAAAAGTTCCCTGGACTAGCTCTGCCCCTGGGGTATGTGGAAGAGGTAGACAGAAATACTTTATGGAGAGTGCCATCTTCAAAATTTAAATTTTGGGGCTATATAAATTTAGCCCTGTTAGAAATGAGCTCCACATTCTGAAATTGCAAACCAAAGAGAACCTCCCACAAGCGACCACCAGGTGGTCAGAAGAGCAGAGCACAGTTTGACTCCCAGGAACCTGAAGAAACAGAATCTTAGCTGATCTGAGTACAAGAATGGTAATGACTGTAAATTAAAATGCACATTTGAGAAAAGAAAAGGTCTGGAAATTATAATCAGCCACGGCAGTGAAGGAGCTCAGAGAAGTAGCAGAAATAGTTGAAACAACTTAACTTGAAAAGTAGGCTATCTACACAATGAAATGCTATCCAGTGCAAGAGAGAATGACTGTACAGTGGGTTAGTTTGGAACTGATTGAAGATGTACTATTAGATGGGGGGGGAACCCTAGAAACTGAAGGATGGAAGAATTCACATATAGGGCATGGTGGCACATGCCATTAATCCCAGCATTTGGGAGGCAGAGACAGGCAGATCTCTGTGAGCCCAAGGCCAGCCTGGTCTACATAGTTCCAGGACAGCTGGGGAGACCCTTTCTCAAAAAGATGTATATAATATATATATTTCATTACATATATATATATATATATATATGTAATGAAATGACCCTGCAGACTCTAATGTCGGAGCGTGTATGAAGCAATGGGGCAGCACTAGATGGGAGAAAACGAGCCTGCCCTGCAATACACTTTATTAAACTAGACAGTTTTACTATGTTAGGATATACATAAAGTTTATCATTTTAGCAAGTGTATAGTTAGTGAAGTTAAGTGCATTTACAGCGCTGTACAGCTATCCATCTCTACTGAAATACTGTACCTACAGCTTTCAGTTGTGTTCATGTATGACCTACTAAAAAAGATTCAAAGGGGGTGAGAGATAGGGAGGGCTCAGTGGTAGAATACTGTGCCTGAAGCCCAGGGTTTGATTCCTAGCATAGCCAAAAAACAAGAACAAAAAAGCTCGAATGGATGACTTTAACTGTATATTAGACCCAACAAAATTTCGGTTAGCTATAGAGCTGGGGTATAACTCAGTGATAGAACACTTGTTTAGGGATTTACTCAGGAGCCTAACAAGCAGAAAGGTAGGAAATGACAAAAGGTCTAATACAAAGTTGAATGGAAACTGCAGGAGAAATTATAATTGATGGTAAAATGACTGAAGGTTTTACAGGCTTGAGAGAGAAGGCAGAACACAGGCTAAAAGGTGTACTAAGCCATGTATGCTATAGTAAAATTAAGACAATACTGTTTGTAAATCTTGTAACACCAACCATGGGTGGTGGGTGGGGAACCTCAGAAAAGCAATAAAAACACCACTAGAGGTCATGAGATGCTGGAAGAAGTCAAAGTTGGAGAGAAAATGGCCATTTGGAGGGTTGGGATGTAGCACAGTTGGTAGAGTGCTCGCCTAGCATGCAGGGAGCTGTGGGTTTAAATCCTCACACCACACAAACTGGGCATGGTGGCACACACCAGTTGGAAGGGATCAAAAATTCAAGGTCATCTTTACACTGCAA